CATTTACATAATCACCGACGCAATTATTCTGAAATCTTCGAATTTTTAAACAACAGATAATGCTGAGTTATGCGGGTTTACAATACATAGAATTAGAACCGGTGATAAGATAAAAATAATGTTCGTTGTTTTAATGAAAATAGGGAAGTATATAAGCTGCACTGTAGTTGTACATTTTTAACGTGATTGGTCTATATGCTATAGGTTTGTAAATTTGGAAAAGGTTCAGAATAGAAAGTTTAAAGTGGTAATTCTCGTGCGATAATTTTTACAATGAAATCGGGGTTGTTAACATTTAATTAACATTTGACTATCTGGTTGACGAGTTCGTTTGGACAGGTACAAGTGTTCTACTTCGACGTTCAGCTTTCCAACCTGGAAGGGAAACCTGATTCCGCGATCAAATTCATATAATTCTCCCAATCGAACTACATGTTTACTTGGAAAAATGAAAGTCGACTCTTCCGACATCGCGGAACATAAAATACAATTGCAATTTTCGCAGTCCGATTAACCGCAGACTTTTTCACTCGTGGAGAACCCGTAATCCTCCCCATAAATTTAAGCATCGGCCATTAAGAAAACACACGATGGAACGGCACGATCAGTCACATCCGCTTAATGATCCTTCGGCGCAATAAAAGATTCTGCATTCGCCTACGGATTGTGAATAAGCATTTACTTTAATTACCTCTTACATCGTGCCAAAGACACAATTAAATTCCAATTAGTCGTCGAATTGAAGCCAATCAGCGACAGTGTGAAAATTACGTTTTCATTCGGAGGTAGAGGGGAAGGGAGCAATTAACGATCACTCGAACGAAGTTATCCCTAGGTTAGTCGACCCTGCAAGGAATGCAACTAACTGCAAATTTCCGGTGGGCTACATCCTAGGTAAAATGGACAGTACACGTACACGAGCGAGCACATTTTGTCAGGCGTTCGTTTTCCAATTCCCTATCTCTCCCTTCGTTTACGCCTCTTCTCAGGGCCCTATCGTACACGTACGAGCCTACAAGGCCGTTGCATACCTCCCTTTCCCTTCCGTCCTATTGCGATGCCATACGCGTGATTATGCAAATTCTCTTGGCCGAACGAGCAAACAAGGAAACGCCTCTGTACACGTGTCTTCAATACAATATTACGATTTTATATTTTCACGTAGCTTTTTCACATCGTGGTTGAAATATCCGAAAGCTTGACTTTTAATACCTGTCGAGATAAAAATAGTCCGCTGGCTATTAATTCTCGTGAATTGTTGACGATCCTCTTACGCTCGCGAACGTCTTTTTATAGTGAAATGTTTTCGATATTAAAATAACTTAACAATGTAAGGGTATTAATTAGCTAACGAGGGTAAATAAGTGATTAAAATTATTTAGGTCACTAAAAGGAAGCCGTTAATAGGCCCTAATAACTCTGTCTCGTACGTTAATCCAATTACACGCAAGATAGCCTGATTTCCAAGAAATATGTAAAAGTCTATCCACACGTACATACGTAGAAACTCTTTTGCACGTCGCGATGCTTTTAATACGACGGGTTACAAGTGCAATAATTTTACAATTACCAACAAAGGATAACTCGAGATAGTGAGAAACTTTGAAAATGCTAGTTGCCACGTCCTCCAAGGATACGGACAATTTTTCCCTCTTAATGGAGAGGAAATTCTGCATTCGTTAGCGGCCGTTTTCTGCGAGAGTTATGCGAGGATCATTAAACAGATTGCAAAAAGACCACGATCCAGGATACGCGGGTTTACGAACGGCTGTGCGTGCGTGCCGCACACCGTGATTTGTAAATACAAGCACATCCTGCGCTCATGCATCGTTCTACGTGCGTCCACGTTTCGCGCTTACTACCCGTGTTCCAACGTGCCTAACCAAGAGGCTGTAAATATATCAGCTGTTATCGTTAAACGTCTCCACGAAGTGAGCTTTGCATGTATCCGTTGCAAGCTTTATGCTCATATCGGGCGATGAAGATTCGCTTTGTGCATCGGCGTTAATTAATCGAAGCAAAGAATCTGGATGATTGGGCGGCTGTGTTCGATGCGATACACCTGCTATGCAAATTACATCAATGATCTAATTTCCTGGCTAATTGAACCGTCCTTAAAACTCTTTTATTGCATAATCACACGATCCGAGGCTGGAATTTCGTCTCATTTCTATGCCAAGGATAGCAGTCGAAGCAGGAATTTCTATGACTTCCCTTCAACTTGTTTTCGAGTTCCCTTGTACGTGATAATCTTCTGGCGGTATTATATGTACGCGATGTACAACGGGTGGTGCAATTTCATTTCGTGTACACGTAAATTCTGCCGATGCCAAACGCTAACGAAAGTATAAATTGCCTATTACGTGTGCCCATGGATTTGACTCGCAGCGACCATTTTGCCATTTTCAACACGCCTCGAGAATTGGCAAGCTCGATCTTCACTCCGTAATTCGAGGAAAGAAGGTCAGAGAAGCATGGATACCTAACCGCAAGAAGGTATCGACACAACGAAGGAGCTGACCACGAGATTGTGGTACATCGACGGATGAACCGTGGCCAGACAATGCACGCGAGACATTTATACCTTTACGAGTACAATGTTCTTACAGTTTATAATACATATATTCACGATGATATTCGACGAAGTTCGATAAACGAATACAGGTGAAAAATTGCGAAATATTCTTTCATAAAAATCCTCGACATCGTCATCGTCATCGTCGTGAGATGAATGAATCGTACGGACGCCATCTTTTTTCTAGTACAGATTGATTATAATGGATTGCGATTTGACGAATATCGGGAATCGTATGAATGACATTCTTGCGTTTCAAATGCTATGAATGAATAGAAATACGAACGGAACGATAGTTACATCCTACTGAATTGTTACATCGTTTCTGATGCTTTGTCTGCGACAATTGCCCTAACGCCAGCGCGACACACAAGCGCGCAGAAATGACAGAGATTCCAGTGAATCGGGCTGTACACGCCTAAATACAGGGTTAAATTCTAATCTAGCACGCAACCGGAAACACGAGTGCTTCGGCAAACAATGCTTTCGAAAAAGAGAGCGCAACAATGGAAAACAATAACGACAGACGATGCGTGCAATATACATTCACGCGAGGGAACCTTTGGTCAGTGTTTTCCTGCTGTTGTTTCTGTTGCGTCAATTTCCTAGATAAATCTTTTAGAGAATTTCATTTTTGCACGAATGGATGATCCTATCTGGTACAACCATACAAATTCATATCTGAATTTCCAAACAATCCTTTAACCGACCTCGGAACACCTGAAAAGATTCGGGAATAAATTTAACTGAAAAAAATCAGAGAAATGCTATTTGAAATTAAACTTACCACGATTTGAACAATCTTTTCTAAACTTTTCGTTAAAAATTCTTGGTAGCTCTTCGTATTTTATTTCTCCTGAAATTCCCTAGCTTCTATCTTTTTCTTTCGCCAATATCATCGTTTGACCAGTCGTGGAAGATCTGTTGTGAAAGATTAAAATTAATTAGGAAAATGCCACTGAATTATACACTTTAAATTGTAGAAAAAAATGTATGCATAATTCTAAGATTAATTCGATACGATAATTTTTAAATTGGTATATATTTAATTACGAGATAGTGATCTAGCGGTACCAACTACGTATACTTTTCCAATTAAAGAGATCTTAATGGGATTAAGCAGGATTTCCGCGATCGATTTATCAATTTCTTTTTCATGCTTTAACGAAAGAACACGTGACCACTTTCATCCGTCAGGGATCGCGGGTACACATTTTCTGCAATTTGCCTGCCGCCGTTGAGGAAACGCATTTCTTTTATGCGGTCCGGTAACAAAGGCCGTTCCACACAAAGGTATGCACGCGACGTGAAAGCACCGTGAAAACGGATTGAGCGTTTCGCGGTGTTACATGTGCGTTAAGCTTTACATCCGATGCTTGCAAAATTAATCCGCGTTCTTTCTGGCAAGCAAGGCTCGCGATGTCTTTGCCTTCTCTTATTCATTCCCGTGAAATTCGACTCGTCTTTGAATATTAAACGAAGAGTCGATGACGTCGAGAATTTGCGATAAATACTATGTATGCTCTTAATCGGAATATTGTATGCTTTTATTGACTATAAACGTTACGTAAGCTATTATGCTCTTCTCCTTGAAATGAAATAAAAGTGATCAAAATGATATGTTTACGCAAGATGGGTCGTTTCTTTTCATTTACGTTTATTTGAAATTTAAATGAGCCTCGGTTACTTTGTATCGAATAGCTACTCGAAATTTTGCGTAAAATTTAACCTAAAAAATAGGAAAGAGGATAAAAGGAGAAATATAAATGGAGGATGATCTAATCTGCATAAATCTGAATGTGAGAGAACAGCTTGATATTAAGGTTGTACCGTTACGGACAGAAATTATCATTCCATATGCCTATAAATATTATCGAGGTGATGCCCAAAACTGGTTTTAGGTATTTGGTGCGGGACACAAAACATGGCCGTGGTCCAGCACAGCTGCACGATCAACCGGTTTCCCTGATTACAGCCGACTACGTATACAGTCAATGAGTATACGCGTAAATACGTAATAAGTATTGTATCCCATATAAGTATCGTTTGTAACGAAATGACATCGAATTTATCATTATTCGTTATTTATTAGCAATCACAGGACAGCAAAATATACGTTTTATTCTTTCCTATTCTAACCTTTTCCCTCGGTTATGTCCCTGTTTTATTTCCCTGTGTTTCATTTATAATGGTAATAAAATATACAAGTTCTTAGATTTATTTAAAAATTAATTTATCGATCTGGGTAAAAAAATACATTTCATATTGGAACTACATTTTGGAACTTTAGTGTGGCCATCAGAGGCGCCACTAACTAATAGCATGGTTTTTAAATAGAATGAGATTCGAATGTGAATGCGTCATTGATGATACCATAAATGCACGTAAACCAAGAGCAGACATACAGCTGTGTAGCGTATTTCATTATAGTGAAACGTGATCAGCTGTTGGTCATAGCCACGCACATATTAGAAACAAATTTTGTCACTTGAAATTATTAAATTTATAAAACGATCAATTTTTATAGTGTAAATTATTTTTTCTATACACGAAATAAGTTTGTAAGAAAAATCTTACACCATGGTAAGTAAACAAGAATCATTATTATTAGAGGTTATGTTAGAATGAACATTTTTGATATCAAATAAGGGATGATAAATATTACAGGGGAAAAATAAAATATGACGTTAAATATAGTTGTACTCGTCTAAATAATTTAGAATCAAGTATAGAGAATTTTATATCATTATTTAAATTAGTTTGTATTATACAAAGTAGTATAACGTGTGTTTCACTGACACAGCAAGATCCAAATGAAGACACTCAGTGGAATGATATTCTCAGAAGCAAAGGTATTATTCCTGAGAAGCCAAAGGAAGTCACAGAGGACCAAATAGTTGATATCGTGGAAAATACAATAAATGAAAAAACTGGGCGTAGTAATTAAATACTTTCTTTTTTATCCTATATTAATTAACAATTGAATTATACTTTTAAATTAAATATAATTAATATAGATATTTGCTATTTCTTATAGCTACAAGTGATTTAGAAAGCAAAACACTGGATGAATTAGATGAATTAGAAGATGAAGAAGATGAAAGAATTCTATTGGAATATCGGAGGAAAAGAATAGCAGAAATGAAAGAATTAGCTAACAAATCGAAATATGGAGAAGTTAAAGAAATAACAGCAAAGGATTATGTTCAAGAAGTGAATAATGCAGGGGAAGATATTTGGGTTATACTTCACTTGTATAAATCTGGGTACTCTAAAATTATATTTAGAAAAATTAAATATAGGAAAACTCTTGTAATTTTTAAAAAGATTATTTTTGTTTCAGCATTCCACTATGCACATTAATAAATCAATATTTAGCTAGCTTAGCAAGAAAGTTTCCTGCAACAAAATTTTTAAAAAGTATTTCGACTACTTGCATTCCTAATTGGCCAGATAACAATCTTCCTACCATTTTTATCTATCACAATGGAAATATGGTGAAACAAATTATTGGACCAATCGAATTAAGAGGCATGAAATTAACTGAAGAAGGTACATACATAGAATTACATATTTAATGGAAAGAGTATTCTAATCATTTTTCTCAATTTCATCAATATTGATATGAACTATTATGTTATCATAGAACTAGAATGGATGTTGGGGCAGACAGAAGCTATACCAACAAAAATTACCAAAGATCCAAAGCCAAAAATCAGAGACGTATTATTTTCTACTTTGAGGCATCAAAATGAGAATGATGCTGACAGTAATGATTGGTAATTTTGTTTTTGTTAATTATTTACAGGACCTGAACTAATATTTAAATTAAAAAACAGAACATTTTATTTATTTAATATTATATATATTTTATAACACACAAATCACTTTTTGTTATTCATGAAATTTTATCATTATAAATAACAATCGTATTGTCGCAATAAAATATTTTATTCTCACGTTATTAGTTTAAAAATTATGATTTCTACCATATTTTCTACATTTCTATATTATATTTTTATAAAATGATCATTACTGCCATAGAATACAATATGCACAATCTAAACATAAAATATAACCTTATTTATACACTTGATTTTTCAAATAAAGTATCTATTTTACTTAATTTTTTAAAAATTAATATTATATAATTATGAATTTATATTAACTTACAATTGTCGTTTCCAATATATAAAGCATTTTTGTTCTGTTCATTATTACATTAAACTTTAATATCTCGATACTTCTGTTTTTCCAATAAATTTTGGTAAATTTATATAACTGTAGTAAAAATGAAAGAAACAAAAGATATTAATTGAAAATTATTAAACACAATGCAACTATAGATTAAAATATAAGTTCGATCACGACCTGAAACAAAAGAGTAATGTCGACATTATTATTTTGCACCGGTAACATTATGCAGCTTAACTGTACACAATTTATATTTTTGTCACTATTAGATGTTTTATTGTGTATGGAATCATTACAATCTGTCACTATTCGTCCGCACAGGGCCATAGTTGAAGTTTTTTAAGGATGTTTACATTTTGTCGCTCAAGGACTTCTCGAATTTCGTACCTTATCTCAGCATTCTCCGCACTATTCGTATTGTAGTTCGTAATATGATTTCGTAAAACGCAGTTTAGTTTTTATCGCTCATCTCGTCTCAGTTTAGTACTGTGTGATAAAATCTTGAAATACAAATTTTTTTAATTTTATATTTATTATTTAATTTTTATCTTTATATTATAATAATCGGTATGAAAATGTTTAAAAAGCGAGTGTTTATTCAGTGATAAGTGTTAAAAATCTACTTGAATTCTTGTGAGAAAAGTTAGGTAAGCTTTGTATACAATAATTGGCTTATTTATATTATAATTGTAAACTAAAATATAACAGTAATAGTCAATTTTTTAATAATTTCCTATTATGAAATATATAAAATATTTTATTCCAGTATATTCATAATAAACAGTGTAATTTAGAAATTAGAGAATTAATTGGTACATATGAAGAATTATAATCAAAATAATTGTAGAAATGAATAATTTTGTCACATCTACAATGAATAAATACTTAACAATATAAAGGAATTATGACTAAAGAAGAAAGAAATTTTGTAATATTAAATAATTTTGAATCTACTAATATACATTATAATACTGCTATAAAACAATATGTATCAATGTTAAATAAAACATCTCGTACAATTCCTAATATTTTAAAAAGTAGTTCAAGATCACACAGGTTTTCTAAAACAGATGTAACAAAATTAAATTACTCTTTGAAAGATGTAACAAACACAGAACATGTACCGGTTTTGTTTGTTCCTAATACAGTACCAGAGCATACTTTTAATGAAAACACATTAGTTAAGAAACAAACTGAACATAAACAGGTATCAAGGAGGAGAAAACAAGAGTTTAGCTTCGTAGATATTTGGCATGATTTACCTAATTGGAGTATTTGTTCCTTTGTTGATGACAAGAAAAAAATGTCAGACAAAGACTTCTGTATATCAACAAAATTAGAAAATTCTGCACAAAAGAAGAAGTTAAAACGTTACATTAAGAAACAAAATAAAAAACAAGCAATTCCTGTTCTTAAAAACGAAGAAGATCATTTATCTTCCATGTCTCAAAATGATTGGACTTCTGAATGTCAGCTTTTCCCATTTTTGCAAGAAATTGAGTCAAATGATTTACAAGATACAATTGATTTCTCAAGCAATGAAATATTTAATAAATTTAATTATGAAATTTATAATAATAATAATTCAGATTGCTTCACATGGTATGTGATGAACTCTGACAAAATTTGTAATTCATTAAATACAAAACATAATAGTAATAATTGTGAGGAATGTGACATAAATGACAATGAAGTTGATACATGTGAAACAGCAGTACAGTGGTCTTTAATAGATAACGAGCAGATTGAAAAAGATAGTTTAACAAGAAAATCTGTAATGTTTTCAGAATATCCTAGTGAAACTCTGTCATTATTCAGTGATAAAAAATCAAAGTGTTCATCTAATTCCTGTTGTGATTATTGCTTTGATGATTGTGTTTCAAACTGGATTGCAACTAGTGGAACCAGTGCTTTTGCAAAAAATAAAGTATTAACAGAAACTTTTAATGAAGTTTCACAGACTGAATTAAATAGTTCACATTTGGATATTTCTAAATATAATACATATTTAAGCAACGATGCATCATTATCTGAAACTGAAAGTTGTTTTCAAATCATAAATGATACCAATGCATCATTAACAGAAAGTTATGAAAATGGAGAAGACATAGAAGAAGAAATGTTTAAACAAAGTACATATATGAAACAACAAGATGAGTATAGTATACCTATGGAAGATTTATACGTCACAGGCACAGAACAAATTGAAGACAATGATGAACATAATACAAACAAGAATGAGTAAGTTAATTCTTTATATTATATCTATGTAACATAAAAAATGATTTCTAACAATATATTTTGTAAATGAAATTTTTGTAGTACGAGATATATTCTAATTTTTTGCTCTTTTTCATAATTTTACGATTAATAAAATGTGAACTATGCTTGCAGGTTTCAATGCTTACTATGTCCACTAACGTTTTCAAACACACGTACGATGGCAATGCATCAAACGGCAGCACATGGAGGTAAATGTACTATTTTATCCACGATAACGTATAGCGTTTGTCATTGAATTTCTTTTCAGGTATGTACATAATACTTTGTGAAAGTTGTGGTAGGCTTTTCAATCGAAAATATCATTTCAATAGGCATCTCATTCATTGCCGTCGCGTGAACGATCCTTTCGAATGCAACATGTGTATGAGGAAGTATAGGTAACAAGAGAAGCTTAGGATATTAAAATTTTTTATGTATAAGCCTTTAACATTTATTAGCTTCATTGCCTAAAAAATTTTATTCTGCTTTTAGACATAAATCATCATTAATTCATCATTTAAAAGTAGCGCATCATGTTCGTCATAATCGCAATTGTTCGACAACATTCACTTGTAGCGTGTGTAACAAAAGTTATAGAAAATTTGGTGCCTACAAGAATCATGTAAAAAAACACACATGGTAAGTGTAATTTGTAGATGATTTATAAAAACGTTTCACGGATAATTGAATGAAATTTTTCATCATTTTTAGATCACTAAGGCGGAATATTTCGTAATGTTAGTCTCATTTAAGTTCCTCAATTTAATTCATGACATTGAATTAGATTATTGAAATTTTATATTTATATTTAATATTTATGTTTTGACATTACCTTCTTGGATATTTTATTTTTATACAGTTAGGTTACAATTATAAAATAGTTGTTTGTAGTAGTCGATATTAAATAGAAAAAACTAATTTTATTTATACACGTGAAAGAGTAATAATTTATATATATTTTTGCAAATTATGAATTTGTCGCTATATTGGTTATTTTTATGTATTTTATTTTTCATCATATTATAATTTGTTATGTTATTGATTCGTTCGTTTGTACGTACTTTTATTTATATTGATAGACGGATATTATTTTAAATCCAATACCTCTGGTTTATGATTGATATGTACGTGGTACATATTATTGTTATTCTTAAATTGTTAGGTAATTTAGATTTAACAGGTATACCGTTCATGTATATAATAAAGAGATTTTCCTTTCCCATTTTCAGAATTATTATAGATCAAAATATATAGCTTTAAATGTTTTATTTTTGTACCTGTATTTGATAATATTGTAATACTTAACATGTAACAAGTAATGTAAAATTCATAATAAAAGTGCATATCAAATATTTGTTACATAATTTTAATATCAAAGTTGTATTTTATTTGCATATTTATTTATGTTCTTGCTTATATTATAGAATATGCATGTTTTATTTAAATGAATATAATTTTATTGGCAAACTAATGAAAATAATTTTTACTCATGAAAAATGGTAAAAGGAAATAATTAGTGTCATGAATAAATTACTTAATATTTAATAAAAAATAATATTTTTTTTAAATTAAATATTTAACAATTTTTTTACATACTGCCAAACATTTTAATTTCATTTTGATACAAAAAATGACTAAATTATCATTCTTTTGTACATTAAAAAGTATTTCTTTAGTTGCAAACAAAGAAAACAAAAATACTTGTTTTTATATTAATTTGATAACAAACTGCAATTTCAGTCAGTTGTTAATCACAGTTTTCAAGATAATCTTAGAAACACTATCCTTCAGTTTGACGTATGAGAATTTTTACGTGAGTAGACATATTGATATGAGTGTAGAAGTCTGCTCCATTATTAACTTTCATCCTAAGAGTGTTACCATGTATGCCATTAAAGAAAAGCGAAAAATAGGCATCACAATAAAGCTCACGGACCATTTCGACGCAGAAAAGCATTTATCGAGTGACAATATATCGAATGATTTCGTTCTATACTAGCTTGTCTTGATTGAACGAATTAAAATTTATTCATGACTTTTTCTTCTGTACTTTATATGTTCATATAAAAATTATTTTTTCCATTTAATATATACAAATATTTTAACAAGATAGAATCGTATATTTACACATTATATCCAAACAAATACCCTTCTGAATTATCGGATTATAACATACATTTTTTATTTATAATATTTAATCAATATATTTTATTTATACATTCTAAATACATTTTATATTATACACTTTTGTATTATTTATTGGTATATAACATATTATTCGAAGGAAATAATACCTGAATAATAAAAACGGTTAGGTGAAATCGCCATAATTTTAGAATTACCATAGATTACAAGAAAGAAATAGAATAAAAATGAAAGGCAGTTCGAATAGTTCACGATTCTAGTCGCAGTATTGTTTCTCGAAATATCGACGATTCATCGCTATTTACACGTTGGCTTTCGCTCGTAAATCGTAAAAAGATTCTATCTCGTATACCTTAGAATTTATCAGTGATCATACCTGAATGGTGCAATGGATGAAATAAAATTACACAATTCTCACTGTCGCACAATTTGCACAGTATGTGCGAAAAAATTTTTGAACCAATGTAAATTAAAGCTGTTCATTTTCTATCTATTTCATCTATTTCATATGTAAAATAGGATATAAATCCGATATGTACAGACATTTGTATACGTATCACAATTTTACATCGCTTTTTCACAATGACTACTGTTGATCAATAGATTGTTAATTTTATCCTGTTGATTAACACGGTGACATTTTCATTGAAGAGAGTGAGCGGAAATGTTAAAGGTCTAATGAAAATGTTTATGAAATATTTTTCAGTCGATGAAGATGTTAAATCGCGATGAACTCATGCGATAAATAAACTTCCTTTTTTAAAATATTAATCCCATTGTACATTTTTTAAGCAACATTGCATTATACGAAACGAGTAATTGAACCTATGTTATCTTCGTGATAATTCAGGGCAGTTGTACCATTTACTTTAATATCTTACTTTATTAGCCGGTATTAAGAAAAAAATATTCTCATATTCACGTATACGAGACAGGTAGAATTATTCATGAAAATACAAGAAACTCTAATACGAAGAATGGTGCATTAAAATTCAACGTTTTGCGACATTGTATTTTTAATACATTTACGTTTTTTCATAATATAAGCTGCGCAGAAGAATTTCGAACCATTTCTATCCATACGGTTATCCAGCGTTATTCTAAATCGGATAAAATGAAAAATAATCTTCGATTTAAAGATAGTCCAATTTTAATCTCTCTTATACGATCGAATTGCAAAGAAATATTTACGTGGAAATCCATTACGACGAAAGATCCGTGAACTAAAAATAAAACGAAGGATACTTGGTCGATAGACCATTCGCGAAAACAGAGTGATCCTCCATGATCACGAGAAGTGTCAGCGGTGAACCGTGGAGGGTGGTGCGCACCATAGTGAATCCGTTAACGAAAAGGGATAACTATAGTGGCGCCGCGGTCGGTCAAAATTCGAACGAATGCTTGCGCCGGAACCGCGCAGATCGTCCTCAGTAGTTGCCCAGACGCTGTCACGGGCGTAGCTGGATGCTGGATTGTCTCTCTCTCTCGTGCGCGCGCGTGCCGCAGGGAGGTGCTTCCTTTTCTTCTTCCTCTTCCTCCTAACCTCGTCCTACGTCGCCTGTATCGTCGACGAACGCCGTGGACGTCACGATCCTTCGATGCTGCGGATATCGTGCGACTCGGTCATCGGTTCACCATCCTAACGAGAAGAAGAAAAGGTACCGGAGAAAAGGGAGGCCGACGAGGTTTCCTGCCGGTCGGTGAGAGAGAGAGAGAGAGATAGATCGAGAGATCGAGAAAGAGGGGGCGAGAGGGACAGAGAGAGAGATAGTGCGATAGGAAGGCAGGGTGAGGGAGTGAAAGGGATTCGACAAGGAAAGGCAACCGAGAGAAACAAAGAGAGACCGGTAAATCGGGGGAACAAAGATGGTGCGAGAGAAATAGACAAGTAACGAGGGGAATACGGGAGAAGCAAAGAAAGATTCGGAAGGAAAGCTGTCCGGGAGGGGTGGAGATGTGTTGAAGTGTGTTCTGTGTATATATATGGTGCAGTGCGGTGCGGTGCTCGAGAGAGAGAATGGCGTGGTCGGATTTCGCGTGCACCTCGCCGTGACGTGGAAAGGTAAGGATCCTGTCTAACCTTTATTTTCATTTTCCGACCGTCGTCGATGTAGATGTCGTTTAAGCGCGAGTTTAACCATGTTTCCGCGTCCGCCACCGATTAACCGCGAGATCGAGTTTCTTATTCGATTCACTGTGCCCGCCGACACCGATAATTGGCTTCGATTCGAGCGATGATCCGTCTGTCGGTCAGTCGCCGGTGCCGCGTGCGCCTCTGTCGTCTGGCTTATCCTCTCTGCCACTACTATGGAGCTCGTTGGCATGCCTGCCAGGCTGTAACGTCGTTTTCTCGCTCCAATATTATTTCTTCGCCTTCGTCGCGTAGCTCTGCACTCGTGTCGTCGCTATTGTTAGGTTATTAAACGAAAAATTTCGCTCGACGCGAAGGATACGTGGAAATTACGTCGGAGAGAGGCGGACAGATGACATCGAATAGAATTTAGCGCGATGTCTTATAGCGAAGTATTTTGATTGGTCCGATTGGCTCTACCGGAAACGTTACATTTCGCGCGATATTAAACGCGATTAAATTCGATAATCGAATTACTTTTATGTTGTCAAATATTAACTTTTACGATATTCCTTTCCAATTTTTCGGTGTAATTCATTTCCCAATCGCGTACAATAAATTGTTTAATATTTATTATTCATGCGGAATGAGTTATCGAAAATGGCAATTTTTGTTCGATATCACGATCGAGGAAATCCGTTTAGGAATGCTCAAATGTGCATGTCTGAAGCATGTAAATATATCAAGGATTATAAGTCACATTCATCTAACGCTCAGTATTAAAACGAAGGACATATCATTTTAGGGACTTTTACATTAAAACTCCATTTTCCTGAATATCGTTCCATTTAATAGTTTCGTTTGAATTTAAAAAATAAAATCCATCAAATTAATATTTTTCTTTCGCTACACGAGCTTCTAACTCAAAGTTCTCGACATTTCCTTCAACTATTTTCGATGTACATTTTCATCCAGAAAAATGAAAAGTGAACGAAGTCTATTTTTAAAAACAAATGAAATTTTGATGGATTATAGGGTAAATTGTTAATGTATTTTTGTTTATAATCGATATTGAAAGTTGAAATAACAAAATCTTCGTTAAATTTAAAAGGTAATAAGCAATTAGAAGCTCGAAGCATGGCACGAGTCAATATCGAAATTTTTCCGCTCAGACCATGCAGTTGAACTTCCATTTTGGTCGAGCTTGGTGGAGATGGAAAGTTGTTTCGATGACCCACGTGGGGTGTAACTAGATCCCGTATGAGTCGTACCATGAAGTACCCCGCGATATTAAAGCTATCACAATGTTCATATTACTTACAAAACCCTGGAAACACGGAAACTACCCTTGTTGGAAAGGGAGGCATTTGCTTGTTAGTTTTACACTGTTATTTCCAAATGTTTCTTATTTTGAAACCATTACTTCTCCAATTCCCTTCTCCCTTTCCCTTCTATCCAAATTTGCACAGCAGGCTATGTTCCATTTAAGTCATCGTTAATTATTGTTATCAACGATATTATAAATCATTAAACTCCGATTTTAAAAATTTATAGAAACCCTATCACAACGACGAAG